AATGGGAATGGGGCTTTTCAGAGCATTGTATCATTGTTCCCACACATTGTGATTGCAGGCTGCTGTAATCAAGACAAACATTACCGCTGTCTGCCGATGGATCTTTGGGAGAACGGATAAGTGAATTCATCAGAGGATCGACCTGGGGGAAAGGCTTTGATGTACCATAGTCAGACCCCACTGACAGTTGTCTCTCAGAGGTCTGACTGTGAGCGCGTAATTCCGCTGGCATTGGAAGAAGACCACGGTCCAAAGAACCACTGGATACCAGAGGCTTTTGTCCGGAACCAGATGTATTGTCAGAGGTTATTTGAGGCTGTGAACTCCGATTATCCGGTTCTGTTAAATCAGTTTTAGATTTTTGTGCAGAAGCCGCTTCCAGTTCTCGATTTCGACGCTTATTTAAAACACAATTCTTTAGTCTTTCACGTACTTCCATAGGTGTCAATTGTTTTCCCGTACCATTCGGATCTTTCGGACGATCTGAGTCTGCTTGGTTCGTGTCTGTCTGAGGACCAGTGGACGACACGGATTCTGTGGACCCAATGGACTGATGTAATGGTGTGTATTTTGTGCCATTCGTTCGACCTTGTTCCGTATCGGATCCACGCATGTCTGCATCGGAACCTTCGGGAAAACTGCTGCAATGCAACTGTCGATTTTGTGTACGAAAGTTTAACTTTCGACTCTTGGTCATTGCCGATTCGAATGAGTGAAACATATTCAGTCCAATTGCATCCGTGGTGGTCATTGTGGTGGTAGTGGTGGTTGTATCTGTTGTGGTGGACGAGTTGGACAGGGTGACCGTCGCGGCAGCAGCACCACTGATCGGCGCCACATCCATTGGACTGGGGCAATTCACTTTTAACGGTAGTGTGATCGTGCTCTTGTTCGTGGTCAGACTGAGTGCTGCCGAGGCTTTCGGTGTATCACGCATCGGTTGTTAAGCTTCTCACACTGTGCTGTGACACTATTCCGTCCGGTTGCTTGTTTTGGTTCGAGATGGGATCTTATCATGTACAGCACAAATAGGAAAGGCAAAACAAAAAATGTGGCTATTTCCAATGACCGTAATCCGTTCCGGTCGGTGTGTGTGTGTGTGTTTCGAAAGACGAAACGGACGCAGATTTAATGCTTATGCTTTGCCTATCACAGAGATCACGAAAATCGCGGCTAGGTGTACACAGATTTGTTGTTATCCGATTGGCGTGTTCGCGTAATTTAGATCAAAATGTGTGATATATAAATAGATATAGATATATGTGCATGTATAGTTCCAAGAAATTGATTCAATGTATGATTGAATCTTCATAAGGGTTCAGACGGGGTAGGTCTGTTTCACAATCATCCATTCTGTAATCGTCCGCGGAACAACAGAGAGTATGGGAAGT